ACATAACAATATTCAACAATACTATACTTTAAGAAACTTACAGGGAGACATTGTTTGCATGAGTCCTTTTTGAGGAAACTTCTAGAGAACAGGATAGACAACTGGTGGAAAACAGTGAATGTATTTAACTGCAGAACTAAGACTAAATGAAAGGTAAGGACGCATGTAACAGAACAGCATGTAAATGTAATACGCCTTGACATAAAAAGCATACAACTAACAAACTTTTGGAAGACAAGGAGAGGAGTGGGTGGACAGTAAAATAAGCCTACTTATTGACCCATCTGTAACAGATATGAATCAAATGGTATTTTGTACAGCTGGCCAATCAAGTATAGAAGGAATAAATACTGTCTAAGGAAACAGGATTAGAACCATAAATGTAAACACTAGAGCAAAAGAAAGAGCTTCCTATTATAAAAACTACAGTATTGTATGACAGAACAACAATTAGAAAAACATGCATGTGAAAGGATTTGTTTTTCTGTTTTGAGATGGAGTTTTGCTCTGTGGCCCAGGCTGGGGTGCAATGGCACGATCTCGGCTCACCGCAACCTCTGCCTCCCTGATTCAAGAGATTCTCGTCTCAGCCTCCCGAGTAGTTGGGATTATAGGCACGCACCACCATGCCTGGCTAATTTTTGTATTTTTAATAGAAATGGGTTTCGCCATGTTGGCCAGGCTGGTCTTGAACTCCTGACCTCAAGTGATCCTCCCACCTTAGCCTCCCAGAGTGCTGGCATGAGCCATTGCACCCAACCTGAAAGTATTTTTTAAAAACTATAAAACCCAGAAAATAAAAATAAAAATAACTATAGAGACAATATATAGAATTAAGCCCAAATTTATCAAAAATGTAATTAGACTTTCACCTATTAAAATAAAAAGATAATCAGATTGGTTTATAAAGTAAAACTCGAATCTGTATTGCATATAAGCCCTATACTTAAAGTTATTCAAAAAAGTTGAAAGTAAAAGGACGAGTAAAGACCATAAAGAAAGCATTAAAAATTGACTGGGTGTGGTGGCTCACACCTGTCATCCCAGCATTTTGGGAGGCCAAGGCAGGTAGATCACCTGAAGCCAGGAGTTTGAGACCAGCCTGGACAACATGGCAAAATGCTGTCTCTACTAAAAATACAAAAATTAGCTGGGCATGGTGGTGGGTGCCTGTAATCCCACCTACTCAGGAGGCTGAGGTGGGAAAATTGCTTGAACCCTGGAGGCGGAGGTTGCAATGAGCCAGGATCCCACCATTACATTCCAGCCTGGGTGACAGAGCAAAACTCCATCTCAAAAAACAAAAAACAAAAAAAGAAAAAGAAAAAAATGAAAGAAAACAAAAAAATCAAGGAAACAGATTCTCCCATATGGCCTTAGGAAGGAATGCAGGCTGCTGACATCTTGATTTTAGTTTTGTAAGACCTACTTTTTACTTCTGACCATCAGAGCTATAATAAACTTGTGTTCTATTAGCCACTAAAAGTGTGTGAATTTGTTACAGCAGAAAAAAAACTAAGACAACTTTTCTGGAGGGGAATCTGGCAATTCCTTGTAAAACTACGTATGAATGACCGGTGCAGCAGCTCCTGCCTGCAATTCCAGCACTTTGGGGGGCCAAAGAGGGCAGATCATTTGAGGTCAGGAGTTTGAAACCAGCCTGGCCAACATGGTGAAACCCCATCTCTACTAAAAATACAAAAATTAGCCAGGTGTGGTGGCACATGCCTATAGTCCCAGCTACTCAGAAGGCTAAGGCAGGAGAATTGCTTGAACCTGTGAGGCGGAGGTTGCAGTGAACCACAATTGTGCCACTGCACTCTAGCCTGGGTGACCAAGTGAGACTCTGTCTCAAAAAAAAAAAAAAAAAAAGAGGAAGATCTTCATGAATTAATACAAAGTGATTTCCTGTTAAGTGATAAAAGCAAAATGCAAAATGTATCATAGCACACTGCTCCTCATATAAATAAATCCAGGATGACTGCAAAATAGAACATAAGCAGTAGTAAATGGGCCAGGAGCGGAGGCTCACACTTGTAATCCCAGCACTTTGGGAGGCTGATGTGGGCAGATCATGAGGTGAAGAGATCAAGACCACCCTGGCCAACATGGTGAAACCCTGTCTCTACTAAAAATACAAAAATTAGCTGGGCACAGTGGCATGTGCCTGTAGTCCCAGCTACTCCGGAGACAGGAGAATCGCTTGAATCTGGGAGGCAGAGGCTGCAGTGAGCTAAGATCGCGCCACTGCACTCCAGCCTGGTGACAGAGCGAGAGCGAGAGTGAGACTCCATCTCAAAACAAACAAACAAACAACAAAGCAGTAACAAGTGAACCTAAATAACTAACCTAAGTAATTTTGGAAATAGTATTTTGACTGAATACTGTAAGACTAAAACAAAAAAATACTATACGCAAATACCTAAATCTAGTTGGTAAATTTGTTTCTCACAGAGAAATAGGTTAGAAATTCTGAAACTACTTTATGTGTATACTAAAACTGAACAAATAGGTATATATATTTTTTCTCATTATCAGAAAAAGAAATTACAAATAAGTAAAGGAGGAAGGCTACAATAAACTCTGTAAAGCAGGACTAGAAATCAAGTTATTAATAAAACTGATAGTTTTCATACATAAAAAGATAGAGGTAACAAGAAATGAAAAAAAGATAGAGGCAGAAATAAATACAGGGGTGTGTGTATAAATCTATCTATGTACATGTTTCCTAGCTTTAGCTGCCATAAGGGCCAGAAGCAGTGACATCCCAGTAGCCTAGAGCACACCTAGCACCCAGACTTTGGTTTCTAAACACCATTTCCCAATAAAAGCCATGAGGGCTCCTTGGAGAAGCGGCTGATCCAAGGCTAGGATAAGGAAAATAAAAGAACCTGGAATACCTCGTGCAAGAAGGAAGAATGTGGTCAAAAAATGCGTGGGGGTGTGTCAGAAGGTCAAAGGAACCAATGTGGAGGAGATTCCAACATTCAAAGCTGGAACAATTTGAGAAACAAAATAATGATTCACTGGATTTCCTTCACAGAAAGAAACAAAAATCCATAAATCCAAAAATAAATCCATTTAAGTTTTATGAAGTGATTACATTTGATGAGGTAAATTAGATTTACCTCTTAGAAAAAAATCCATAAGTATAATTGAATATATAAGTAAATGAAAGGGAAGGAACAACTCTTTATACAGAATAATCCTAATTAACATACATAAAAAAAGAGGGAAATGAAAAAATCAACATTAGGTTAACACCGCAGTAATAACAGTTGAAGAGATCCAGCAATAAATGCTAAAATTAATGGGCAAAAATTACAGAAGAAACTGAATAATCTCCAAGTATCTCCCACAAGATATTTATTAATTACAAATAGAAAAATAAGAGCTTTATAAAGCAGACACTACCTTCACCAAGTTTGCAAAGTTAACATCACCAATAATAAGACATATCAACATTATGCATCCTTTGGTATGATGCATTATTTCTGTGGCATTCTTTGCAAAAATGCATTACCTCAATCTAATCACAAGAGAATATCAAAACAGATGATCCAAACTGATTGCATGCAAATACAATGAGCCATTTGTCCAGAGAGGCATATCTGAGGATTCTAGGAGAGATTTCTCCCAGAAGATGAAGTCAATGGATCACCTAATATGTCCAAGTATTTTGAGATTCAGACAATTGATGGTAAGTCAGGAATTGGATTAGGGATGTGTATATATAAATTAAGCAAAAAAAAAAAAAAGACAAAATTTCCAAGTCATTATTAACTCCAGGGAAAATAAAAAGGTATACAGAAAAAGTAATTTGGCATATTCACGGCACAGCGATGACTAGCACTAAATGGTTGTAATAATGTAAATCCTGAATACTGACTTAATAAAAATTATGACATTGATAAGATGGGGTATGGGAAATGTGTGTATTTGTGTGTGTACACGTGTTGGATTCAGGAGAGGAAAGAGCTAAATCCTTATTTTCTTATAAGAAGATATCAAATAAGGACTCAACCTGAAGAGACAATCAAGAGTAGTAACATAAACATATTTTTGGAGAAATGAAGGGAACACCAAAACAAACTACAAAAGAAAAGAAGTGGATGGCTCTGGGAAGAGGGAAACTGGAGAACCAGGAATGAGAATTCCTTTTTTAAGAGAAAAAGCCTTGCATAGGTTGTTGCAAAGATAGTTTTGGTTTTGCCAAAAATTTAGCGTTTATTTTGCCAAAAACCGCAATTACTTTTGCACCAACCTAAGAATACTACTTGACTCTTTAAATAATGTGCATACATGCTAGTGCAGAGAAGGCAAAAAATAAAAAGAAAAAAGAAAAGAGAAAAATAATGTGCATACATATCTTTGATAATAATTTTGATAAAAATTTAAACTCCGAAAGGAAATCTAGAAGTGTGATATAATTCTTTTTTTTTTTTTTTTTTTTTTTTGTTGAGACGGAGTTTTGCTGTTGTTGCCCAGGCTGGAGTGCAATGGCGCGATCTCGGCTCACCGCAACCTCCGCCTCCTGGGTTCAAGCAATTCTCCTGCCTCAGCCTCTCAGCCTCCCGAGTAGCTGGGACTACAGGCATGCACCATCATGCCCAGCTAATTTTTGTATTTTTAGTAGAGACGGGGTTTCACCTTGTTGACCAGGATGGTCTCGATCTCTTGACCTCGTGATCCACCCGCCTCAGCCTCCCAAAGTGCTGGGATTAACAGGCTTGAGCTACCGCGCCCGGCGAAGTGTGATATAATTCTAACCATCAGAGGAAAAGAGCTGAGAAGGGCTGAGATAGGGGGTATAGGAAGACTAGAGAGTATAATTTGATTGAAAGAAAAAGAAAACAAAACCCACGGTGTGGTGAGGTTTCTATGGAAGCACATACTAAGATTTCAGTTCCCATCCCACCTGAAGCCCGGAACAGTTTCCGACTTACTACTTGGTTGAGTACCTTACAGTAGCCCTCCCTGACTGGCGATCTGTCACTCACCTGCACAGTGACCCTGTGACATCTTTCTCTCCACCATCCATGGTTCCTTCCCTTGCTCCAGTAAGGAGATCATGTTGGGCTTAGAAATGGAGAGTCCTGTTCACAGGGGAAGAAAAATGAGAGCAAGAGACAGACATACAGACAGACAAATCAACATGCTACAGCTGTTATAGCACACAGACCCAATCTCTTGATCATCAGGCAAGAATGGACATTAGAGGATGGGCCAGAGAATGGAATGATACTTGTATGGATGATGAGGAGGATGAAGCTTCTGCCATGCCAGTGGTTCTCAAGGTCTTATAGCAGCTGCAGCCATCACCTAGGAACTAACTAGAAATGCACATTCTCAGGCCGGGCACGGTGGTTCACACCTGTAATTCCAGCACTTTCGGAGGCTGACGCAGACGGATCATGAGGTCAAGAGACTGAAATACTGGCCAACATGGTGAAACCCCATCTCTACTAAAAGTACAAAAATTAGCTAAGTGTGGTGGTGTGCGCCTGTAGTCCCAGCTACTCAGGAGGCTGAGGCAGGAGAATCTCTTGAACCCGGGAAGCAGAGGTTGCAGTGAACCAAGATCGTGCCACTGCATTCCAGCTTGGTGACAGAGCGAGACTCCATCTCAAAACAAAACAAAACAAATGCACATTCTCAGGCCCTAACCCAGAACTACTGAGTCAGAAACTATGGTGGCTCTCAAACTTTAATAGACATCAGGATCATTTAAAGAGCTGATTTGGTAGGTCTAGAATGGGGCCTCATAATTTGCATTTTAACAAATTCCCAGGACAAGCTGATGTTGCTCTTCCAAACCACCATTCTAGAGCAAAGGGAACTACTCATTTCCAACTCCATGAAATTACCTCATGCAGTCAGAGCGTCTGCCAAAAGTAAATTAATTAATTAATTAAAATTTAAGAAACTTAAAAAGTTAAAAATACATGTATTTCAAATCATTTCCTGGGAATGGGAAGTAGAAAGGCAAGTAAGTGCTTTTATGATGTTTTAAGATGACCTAGATATTCTCAACAGAGGAAGCAAAAATGCCCCAGAGGAAGATTTTTAAATTATGGGGGAGAAACATCCTTACCAAGCCATACCAAGTTCCTGTAGTTCTCCAACATGACATCTCTGTATAAATCCTTCTGAGATGGCTTCAGCCATTCCCACTCTTCTTGGGAAAAGTCTAGTGCCACATCTCTGAAGGTCACCAACCCCTGAAATAAAAAAATTCTTGTTCACCAGGTGCCCAGACACCCATAAAGCACTAGCTAAAACGATGAATTCTGCTACAGTTCAAAGCTCTAAGTGATGCATGGAAAATAATCACTGGAGAACAATTACATGATAAGGTTTGTCAAATACTTTGAGAGAAGAGAAATATTAGAAACAGACTCGCCGTCTGAAAATCTTACATTTTTGTGGCAGGGCATGGCTGCTCACGCCTGTAATCCCAGCACTTTGGGAGGCCGAGGTGGACAGATCAAGAGGTCAGGAGTTCAAGAACCAGCCTGACCAACATGGTGAAACTCCGTCTCTACTAAAAATACAAAAATTAGCCAGGCATAGTAACGCATGCCTGTAATCCCAGCTGCTTAGGAGGCTGAGGCAGAAGAATCCCTTGAACCAGGGAGGCGGAGGTTGCAGAGAGCTGAGATCTCGCCACTGCACTCCAGCCTAAGTGACAGAGTGAGACTCCAACTCAAAAAAAAAGAAAGAAAATTTTACATTTTTGTAAAAAAAGACATATGAACACAAAAATAGCTTATAACAAGAAACAGGAAAGACCAAACTGTATGTTACGTATACTAAGTATAAAGAAAATCTTACATGGGGGATTCCTTTATATTCCCCAAATTGAGACATTAGATGGAGCAGAATAGGAGAAAGGCCTTGAATTGGGGTTTAACAAAAGGGTGTGGCCTGAAATTTAGACTTTACATGTAAGGAGAAACGTCCAGGAACATATCCTGAAGAAATAATGAGGTACATGTGAAGCGACTTAGACAGAATTTTCATGGGAAGGTTATGCAAAAAATCTGGAAAAAACTTACATGCTCAAAAATACAGTTGAGGCTACAGCAGTGAACTGTAGGCTGCATGACGGGAAGGCTATTTGTTTTATAAGTGGATATATATCCAGCGTCTATTATAAAACTGATCACATTATAAACTCTCAGTAAATATTTGTGTAGGGAACCAGCCCCACACCCCACCCATGGGTACCTGGAGTTCAGTGGTGACAAAGGAATGAGGAAAAGATTAAGAATGAAAGTGGGACCAGAGGACCATCACTTTTTACTGAAGGCAGTGAAGGCCCGACCTCTGGTTTCCACAATATTTATTGAACACGGTCACTTTTATCCATGGTACAGGTGGCAGGGTGAATTGGTGAAGGGAGGCTGTGCATCAAACATAAAATTCATAGCAGTGGCGGTTTATGTGAGTTTCTGTAGAACTAAAAGCATATGCTCATCAACAGACAGTGCAGCTGGTGGGAGCAGGCTTAGCAAGGAGCCTAGATGTCTGCTTACATTCCAGTGCTTCAAGGGAGTGTTATGTCCGTGGGCACTATGTTTAGAATATCAGAGCTTGGGTCACTCTGTTCCTGAGAACATGCTGGCATAGAGAGGCCTTCCTCCCTAGAGGCCTCCACGGCCTTCTGAAGTTTATTGTTCCTGATTTCTTTTATACATTATTTATAACCAGTTTATTCCTCCATTGCTGCTTCCCCCAACATATTTGCTACTCAGGGAATAAATGGTGATGTTTCCTATAAAACACCCATATGAAGGAAGAATATTCAGTGCTTAAAAATGATAGGGTTCCAGCCTGTACAGTATGTTCTCTTAACTATCAGGCTGGGCACAGGAGGTCACGCCTGTAATCCCAGCACTTTGGGAAGCCAAGGCAGGTGGGTCACCTGAGGTCAGGAGTTTGAGACCAGCCTGGCCAAAATGGTGAAACCCTGTCTCTACTAAAAATACAAAAATTAGCTGGGCATGATGGTTTGCACCTGTAGTCCCAACTAATCAGGAGGCTGAGGCATGAGAATTGCTTGAACTTGGGAGGAGGAGGCTGCAATTAGTGGAGATTGTGCCACTGCACTCCAGCTGGGTGACAGAGTGAGACTCCATCTCAACTAAAAAAAAAGAAATACAAAATATGGTTATTCTACATAGTGAAAATACAGCTGAATGTGTCTAGGGAAAAAAATTACCCAACTACGTAGTGTCATATAACTTCCAAGTGCCCCTCGACCCTCCTCTGAGTCCTAGGAGGCTGACTACATCAATCAACTCCCCTGTCCTATCCCATATTCTGTTGGGTTCAGCCACAAGCAAGAGATGAAAGGAAGGTAAGGCAGACAAAATACTTATTCTCCTGGCTCCCTCCCTGGGTGGGAGCGTCACCCTGGGTGTTGTCTTTCAATCAAAGCTCAGAGCACTTGTCAGGGCCCCCCCGCCCCACAACCTAGCTCTCTGTCTCTGGTTTCAGGTCTAGGGTTAGTAAGAGGTTATGCTGTTATGAGCTCTGGAGTACAGCATGATCTTTCATAGTTTCTCTATGTCCTGATAATATCTTGTAAATAGTCGCCTTTTGATTGCCTTGCTAGAACCCTGACTGATAAAACATGTTGACACAAAGTACTTCTCGAAGATGGCCAGAGAGTCCTCAAAAGCACTGCAAAACCACTCTACTACGCCTCTCTAATAAATTCACTCTCCCCCCTCCTGGTAACTATTTCATAACTCTTTCTCAAACCACCCTCCACTCATCCAGTTCTCACTTTGAACATTCTCACCCTCCCGCCACCACATGTCCGTACACTTCTGTATCTGTACTGTTACCTGTATCTTCTGTCTTCCCTCCGTGACTACGGATAAAACTCTAGGCTTCGAAGACCAGTCCCTCCACTTGCCCACCTAAAGACATTTTCACCTCTCTCCCTTGTACTCCCAACTATTTTCACTTTACTGGCTCATTCCAATAAACAAAAAAGCTGATGTAATATCTCCCATCTTGTAAATAAATGCATAGAAAAATAAATAAATAAATCCCCTTCCATGATCTCACTCTAGGGATTATCCTATTTCTCTACTCCTCTTTATTTTTTTTTTATTTTTTATTTTTTTTGAGATGGAGTTTCGCTCTTGTTACCCAGGCTGGAGTGCAATGGCGCGATCTCGGCTCACCGCAACCTCCGCCTCCTGGGTTCAGGCAATTCTCCTGCCTCAGCCTCCTGAGTAGCTGGGATTACAGGCACGTGCCACCATGCCCAGCTAATTTTTTGTATTTTTAGTAGAGACGGGGTTTCACCACGTTGACCAGGATGGTCTCGATCTCTTGACCTCGTGATCCGCCCGCCTCGGCCTCCCAAAGTGCTGGGATTACAGGCGTGAGCCACCGCGCCCGGCTTCTCTACTCCTCTTAATAACAAAAGTCTTCTGATGAGTTGTCTAAACCGGTGTGATCCACCAGAAATATTTGAGCCACACATGTCATTTGAAACTTTCCAGTGGACACAAGAAAAAATATATTAAAAAATATCATTTTTATTTAACCCAAGATATCTACAACATTATCATTTCAACATGTAATCAATATAAAAAATTAATCATATAGCTTACATTCTTTTTTGTACTGAATCTTCAAAATCTGGTATATACTTTGTACTTATAGCATATCACAATTTGGAGTAGTCACATGTGCCTACTGGTACACTATTGTAAGTCTAAATTAACTGTCTTTGCTCTCACCTTCCTCATTTTCCATTCTCTTTTTTCTGCCTGGTTTTTTTTTTGGAGACGGAGTTTCACTCTTGTCGCCCAGGCTGGAGTGCAATGGCACGATCTCGGCTCACTGCGACCTCTGTCTCCTGGGTTCAAGCAATTCTCCTGTCTCAGCCTCCTGAGTAGCTGGGATTACAGGCATGTGCTACCATGCCTGGCTATTTTTGTATTATTAATAGAGATGAGGTTTCATCTTGTTGGCCAGGCTGGTCTTGAACTCCTGACCTCAGGCGATCCACCTGCCTTGGCTTCCCAAAATGCTGGGATTACAGGCGTGAGCCACCACACCTGGATTTTTTTTTTTTTAGAAACAGGGTCTCACTCTGTTTCTGTTGCACAGGCTGGAATGCGGCATCACAATCATAGCTCCCTGCTGTCTCCAACTGCTGGGCTCAAGCGATCCTCCCACCTCAGTCTCCCAAGCAGCTGGGACCATAGGCAACTGCCACCATGCCGGGCTGTTTTTGGATCTTAGTTTTTAAAGATTTTTTTAGAGATGGAGTCTCCCTATGTTGCCCTACATACATAGCTGCTCTTGAATTCCTGGGCTCAGGTGATGGTCCCACCATCTTGACCCCCCAAATTACTGGGATTACAGCCATAAGCCACCACAGCCAGCCTCCATTCTCCCTTAAACCCACCACGATGATGTCTTCATCCTAGTTACTCCATGAAGTAGTTATTGTCAAGAGCATCTCATGTTAACAAATTGTCAGTCTTCATCTTCTTCAGCCTCTCAGAAGAGCTTAACTCAGTTGATCATCCATCCTTGAAACACTGACTCTTCACTTCCAGAGCCCACACTCTTCTGGTTTTCCTTTTACATCAGCTCTTCTCAATCTCTTTCGCTGGTTCCTCCTCTTGTGTGCCTCTAAATATTGAACATCCTAAACTCAGTCCTTCCACCTCTTTCCTCTCTACATTCACCACAGCCTTGCCCTGAAGATAATCTCATTCTGTCTCATGCTTTAAATACACTAATGACAGCTGGGTGCAGATGGCCGGGTTCAGTGGCTTACCCCTGTAATCCCAGCACTTTGGGAAGCCAAGGTGGGCGGATCACAGGGTCAGGAGATCGAGACCATCCTGGCCAATATGGTGACACCCGTCTCTACTAAAAATACAAAAATTAGCTGGCATAGTGGTGCGTGCCTGTAGTCCCAGCTATTCGGGGAGCTGAGGCAGCAGAATCACTTGAACCCAGGAGGCGGAGGTTGCAGTGGGCCGAGATAGCGCCACTGCACTCCAGCCTGGTGACAGAGTGAGATGTCATCTCAAAAAGAAAAGAAAAGAAAAGAAAAAACACTGAGGACTCTCAAATTCACATCTCTAGTCCTGACTCCAGATGTATGATCAGCATTCCATTTGGATATCCAAAAGGTCTCTAAATATATCCAGAACTCAATTACTGATGTCCATCTCACTTCACACTGTCTTTCCAGCTCAGTAAATGGCATGCCCATTCATGTAGCTGCCTAGCCAAAAACCTCTGTAGTCGTGCTGACTTCTTTCCTCCTCTCACACACCGCAACTAATCCTTGATCAACCCGCATTTTCTTTTTTTTTTTTTTTTTTTGAGGCGGAGTTTTTTTGCTCTTGTTACCCAGGCTGGAGTGCAATGGCGCGATCTTGGCTCACCGCAACCTCCGCCTCCCGGGTTCAGGCAATTCTCCTGCCTCAGCCTCCTGAGTTGCTGGGATTACAGGCACGCGCCACCATGCCCAGCTAATGTTTTGTATTTTTAGTAGAGACGGGGTTTCACCATGTTGACCAGGATGGTCTCGATCTCTTGACCTCGTGATCCACCCGCCTCGGCCTCCCAAAGTGCTGGGATTACAGGCTTGAGCCACCACACCCGGCCTCAACCCGCATTTTCTATCTCCATTGTATACCCAGAGTCTCCCTACTCCAATGCCACCACCACGGTTCAGGCCACTATCACCTCCCATCTGGATTATTTAAGTCTCCTAACTGGCCTCCTTGCTCCCACCTTTACTTCTCTGCTATCTGTTTTCATTTTAAGGCATAAATCAAATCAGATCACAAATGTTCCAATGGCTGTTCTTCACACTTAGAATAAAATTCAAAGTGCAGATAATTTACAGCTCTAAGCTGACTTGTAAAGACCTACCTGATTTGGTCCCCAGCTATAGCTCTGACATCACAGTGCTCATTTCCCTCCCAGGACAGACTCATTGCTATTCCTGGAACACACCAAGCACATTCCCACCATAATAACTTTGTACTCCTTCTTTTAAAGCTCTCCCCAGATCGCCACAAAACTTACTTGCTACTTTCACTGAAGTTTTACTTTGCTAAATATCATGTCCTCAGAGAGGTCATCCTCGGCCTCCCTATTTAATAGGTCACTCGGTAATCCAACTCTATCCCTTATTTCACTTGCACTCATGGCCAACTCAACAAATCACCATTCATCTAAATAGGATAGCTCTGCCCCATCACACATTTGAGCATAACGCTGAGAAAAAAAGACAGTTAATGTCTTCCAGAAGGATTATATGAACAAAAGGTGTACAGAGAAAAGTGAAGCAGGTGTTCATTGGGCTATTCATGACTTTCCTTGTGGTCCCAAAGTCCTGAAAGATGAGGTCAAATGGCTGAAAACAAAGTGAAAGATCAGCTTACCTGGGACATGGCTTTACAAAGTCCCACGGCCATTCCTCCTTCTTCAGTTTTCTCTTCTGAAGAAGAACAAAGTCCTGAGAAGGGAGAGTTAAGGAAGAAACAGTGACGTGTTGTTGGCCCGAGACTCACAAAAATAGAGCTACTGCCCCTTCTCCTCCCTACATGGCCAGCCTCACCTTTTCCAAGATCTGGGGAGGGGTGAGGGAGTCAACGCTGAACTTGACTTATAAGTCAAGTTATAATGCTGAACTTGACAACATAAGTCTTGACTTATATTAAGGACACATAGCCTGAACTCAACAAAATCCAAAATCTGTCCTGCGGCCAACAAGGTGGTTAATGATCTGGTCCCTGGCTGCGCCTGTGACCTAATTTCCTACCCTTCTCCCCCTTGCTCACCGCACTCCAGCACACAGGTTTTCTGCTATTACCCAAACACCGTGTACACCCCTCCTTCAGAGTTGTGGCTTCTCCTTCTGCCTGGAACCTTCTTCTCCCAGACACCAGCATGGCCCACTCCTCTCTACTCCTATCTTCCTTCAAGTGTCAATTCATCAGAGGGACTTCCCTGAAAATTCTACCTAAAGAGAACCCCTGTTCCAGGTACTCCCTTTTTCTTTACCCTGAATTATTTTTCTTCTTCTTTTTTTTTTTTTAAAAAAAAAATGGGGTTTCACCATGATGGCCAGGCTGGTCTTGAACTCCTGACCTCAGGTGATCCTCCCCTCAGCCTCCCAAAGCGCTAGGATCATAGGCAGGAGCCACCGTGCCCGGCCAAATTATTTTTCTTCTTAGCCACTGGACATGTTACATACGGTTTTGTTTCTTTATTGTTTCTCTTCCCATACAAGATTATAAGATCCAAGAGAGCTAGGTTTTATTTGGTTCACTGGTGTATTCTAATGACAAAACAACACCAAATCATTGTAGGTGCTCAAAAATATTAGATAAATGAATAAATAAATTGGGCTGGGTGCGGTGGGTCACGTCTGTAATCCCAGCACTCTGGGAGGCTGAGGAGGGTGGATCACAAGGTCAAGAGATCAAGACCATCTTGGCCAACATGGTGAAACCCCGTCTCTACTAAAAATACAAAAAATTAGCTGGGCATGGTGACGCGTGCCTGTAGTCCCAGGTACTTGGGAGGCTGAGGCAGGAGAATCACTTGAACCTGGAAGGCAGAGGTTGCAATGAGCCGAGATCACGCCACTGTACTCCAGCCTGGGTGACAGAGCGAGACTCCGTCTCAACAACAACAACAAAAAGCTTCTGCAACCTGAGAAGAGAATCAATGCAGTCTTCTTAGCATCTTGGAGCAGAAGCCTTAAGTCAGGCCTGTAAAAGAAAGTTCAGTTTGTTTTGTTCTGATAGCTGTGTATCTCTTGGGCAATATATTTCTAAGTTTGAAATGAGCCATTCGTCGCTAAAGGAAGGTATGATGAAAAAGAACTTTGTTGTTTTTTTTTTTTTTTTTTTTTGCAATGGCGCGATCTCGGCTCACCGCAACCTCCACCTCCCAGGTTCAGGCAATTCTCCTGCCTCAACCTCCTGAGTAGCTGGGATTACAGGCACGCGCCACCATGCCCAGCTAATGTTTTGTATTTTTAGTAGAGACGGGGTTTCACCATGTTGACCAGGATGGTCTCGATCTCTTGACCTCGTGATCCACCCGCCTCGGCCTCCCACAGTGCTGGGATTACAGGCGTGAGCCACCGCGCCCGGCCAGAACTTTGTTTTTACGTAGCACCCAGACCCAGGTTGATCCACTCTTTCCCTCAATGGCTGCATGACCTCGGCCAAGTTAATCCATCTCTCAGAAACATTCTTTTCCACGGTCAAGATTGTATGAGCCAACACCTGGGGCAGAAAAGTACCACCCTTTTTCCTGCTTGGATTCTACACACATTTGGAAATGAAATATTATTCTTTTTTTTTTTTTTGAGATAAAGTCTCACTCTTGTCCCCCAGGCTGGTGTGCAATGGCGTAATCTCAGCTCACTGCAACCTCTGCCTCCCAGGTTCATGCGATTCTCTTGCCTCAGCCTCCCACATAGCTGGGATTACAGGCATGTGCCACCACACCCAGCTAATTTTTGTATTTTTAGTAGAGATGGGGTTTCACCATGTTGGCCAGGCTGGTCTCGAACTTCTGACCCAGGTGATCCACCCGCCTCAGCCTCCCAAAGTGCTGGGATTACAGGCGTAAGCCACTGTGCCTGGCTGAGAATATTTTTATTTATCAACTGAGAAGGTCAAAATAAAAAACTCAGCACACCTGGTACATCAGAAAAACAGCCATGGGTCCAGACTCTCAGCACCAAACATGGAAGAGTTTTGACAAGGATAAAGCTAAAATCTCAAACTCAATAACCTAAGGAGAGGAAGACTGGGCTTTCAGGTTGGGCTTCTCTCCCCCAGAAGCAGCTAATTTGAGGATGGCCTCACTACAATGTTTTTAGACTGAGGCCTGTCACTCACAAGGGAACCGAAGGAAGAAACCATGTTAAGTTCCCATGTTCTGCAAGTTCCTATTCCAAGACCGGAACATCTTTTCCAAACTCCTCAAAACCCAGGGCAACCATTTTTCACCCTCTCAATGTGGGAAAGAACAAGTGAGTTTAGTAATTAAAAGGAAGAACTTGGCTGGACACAGCTGGACACAGTGGCTCAGGCCTATAACCTCAACACTTTGGGAGGCCAAGGTGGGAGGACTGCTTGAGCCCAAGTTTCAGACCAGCCTGGGCAATATGGTACGAAGTCGCTACAAAAAATAAAAATAAAAACAATTAGGCAGGCACGGTGGCACACGCCTATGGTCCCAGTTACTTGGGAGGTTGAGGCAGGTGGTTGCTTGAGCCCAAGAGGTCAAGGCTGCAGTGAGCTACAATCACACCACTGCATTCCAGCCTGTTTGACAGAGTGAGACCCTATCTCCAGGGAAAAAAAAAAGTGAGACCTCTAGAACTGAACTGCTTGGGTTTGAGTTCTGGTGCTGTCACTTGTTAACGGTGTGAACTTGGGCAATTTTAATATTTCTGTGTTTCATACATCAATCCCACAATCTCATATACACACACAAATTCTCACCCAATCACAAGCAGATACACAGTCGCACAAACACAACCATAATCTCACACAATACACAGCCAGCCACATAAGCACAAAGACAGATGGTCACACACAATTCCACCAACAGAGATAAACAATCACACGCAATCACACACACAGTAGCATATCACACAAGCCACACATCTTGTCACAATTACCCATAGAAAACTATACCTGCAGGGACAGATGGTCATAGTTGCACAATCACACTTGCTGTCACACACATTCAAACGCAGTTGTATCTGCAGAAACAGGTGGTCACATAACCACACACATGCATTCACACAAACACATAATGTCACACCCCAGTCTCTCACAAACTCATACACAGCTACACCTGCAAAGGTAGTCACGCACAAACATATTCACAGTTTCACCCCTAGACCCAGATGCTTACAGTCACACACTAGCGGGCGCGCGCGCACTCGCGCACACACCCAGTAACACAAGATCACATTCTGTCACACCCACAAGGTGTCACATAGTTATACACAGTAACACAGTGAAATACGGCCTCCCCAGCGGCGTCTGCCGGGTTCCCATCCCTGGCGCGGCCGGAGCCCGCCCTTGACCTCCCGCTCTCGCCCGGGGCCCGGCCCCACTCACCTCCCGGCGCCGCGGGCTCTGCAAACGGGCCCCGCGACCGAGACCCGCGACGTCACCTCCCAGAATTCTCCGCGAGGAGGAGCGAGACGAGGACAGGCGTGCAGGACTCTGAGCTCTGCGAGATCTGAACCAGCGACACCAAGTTCCCCACGGACCCCGCGAACCACGAGCCCCAGAACGCTTTGCGCCACGGCCGTCATCGCTGAACTACATCTCCCAGAGGACCCCGCGGCCCCCCCCACTGCGCGCCTGCGCCAGCAGCGCAGATACGGGAGAGGGCTATGGACGCTCCCGGGCGCTCGAGGGACGGTGAGCTGCTGTGTGGAGCAAAGTGGCCAAGCTGCGCGCAAGAGAATGCTCGGGTGTGGCGGTTCGTGTGACTGTTGCTGCACACCTTTGTGCTTGCACACGAAAGAAGCAACGGATTCTGTCAGTGCAGGGTGCTTCTGTATTTTACATCACGTCCCGTGATTGTAGGTGAGAGATACCGTGGGTGACATTGGGGGGTGACCGTTTCTGTTACTGTAAGGATACCACTGATCCTATGTGTGTATCTGACTGTCTCCCGGTCTCTACCTCGTCTCCTGCCGTGGGCGGAGTCTGTGGTATCTTTTTTTTTTTTTTTTTTTTTTTTTAGACGGAGTCTCATTCTGTCGCCCAGACTGGAGTGCAGTGACGCGATCTCGGCTCACTGCAACCACGGTCTCCCGGGTTCAAGCGATTCTAGTGCCTCAGCCTCCCGCGTAGCTGGGACTACAGGCGCTCGCCACCATGCCCGGCTAATTTTTGTATTTTTTAGTAGAGAAGGTATTTCCCTATGTTGACCAGGCTGATCTGAAACGCCTGGCCTCTAGCTGTCCGCCCGCCTCGGCCTCCCAAAGTGCGGGGACCATAGGGTGAGCCACCACGCCCAGCCTGGTATCCTCATTTGTATATCCCATCTCTGCCTGCACCTAATGTGATGCCAGTCACAGAAGGGTAATTAGATTTCATTAGGATGCACCAAAACCGTAAGCAGTTTGGTAGCTGAAAGCCCTGGCGTTCCTCCTGCTGTTGTTTCCACCTTTTCAATCTACAACTTTAGGGCCCAACTTTAAGAAAACTGCCCACAGTCAGGACAAGAATGTGAGCCCCTGAGTGAAAGATCCAGACTAAAGCAGCATTCTTCCCCATCTTTAGTCCCTGAAATACTGAAAAGTGCACCCATGTCAATATCCTAGTAAGTCAAGATTCTTATGTGGAAGCAAGGGGAAGTTCTTGAGAATGCATCCTTGGAGAATACATCCTCCAATCCCCTGCCACAGAGAGCCCTCTGATGGCTAAGGCCAGAGAATCTTCTACAAAAGGAGTGTGGGTAGAACTGATTACTGTTTAACTCTGTGAAATTGGGCTTTATTACTTTCAGAAGAAATCAGACAATTTTTTAAAGGGCTCTACAAACATGTAATAGGTTGCTTTAATGGGGAAATTTACAAGTTCAGTGTTCTTTGGATGATAATTGTGGTTTGGTACTTGACAATTACATTAAACAGTTCTTCCGGCCGGGCGCGGTGGCTCAAGCCTGTAATCCCAGCACTTTGGGAGGCCGAAGCGGGTGGATCACGAGGTCAAGAGATCGAGACCATCCTGGTCAACACGGTGAAACCCCGTCTCTACTAAAACTACAAAAAATTAGCTGGGCATGGTGGCGCGTGCCTGTAATCCCAGCTATTCAGGAGGCTGAGGCAGGAGAATTGCCTGAACCCAGGAGGCGGAGGTTGCGGTGAGCCGAGATCGCGC